CTGTACTCTGCGTGCCACTGCTGCACCAGCAGTCAGGAATGAAAGGCTTTTTGGTGACCTACATAATTCTCCCCATGAAATGGGATGACTTCAGAATGGCTCCCTATGGTAAACTTTTTGCCTTGATTTGGCTAGGTCATCTTAAATAGCTCCAGCTAATAGCTAGTAGTTTTGAAAGCCTCACCCCCCCCAGCATAGAGGCATTGCAATACAAAGGGAAGGTCGTTACAAGGGCTCTCGTGTATACATAGAGAAGTATAGATCAAGCGAGTGACCAGCTGAGTGGCACAGAATAATCCAGTCAGCTTCTTTCCAATCCACTGGAAAGAAGCTGCGAGTCCTGACTCCTGGGCTCCTGTTCTCCGTCTCCGGTCGCTCTGCCTTCGAGCGCGCTGTAACCTGTGCTTGAGCTACCGGCGATGCAAACCCTGCATTTGCTTTTCCCAAGGGGAGGAAGAGGCAGGAACTTCTGCAGTGTTTGAGACCTCCCCAGTGTGGTGACTCTGTACTCCTTAAACGTGTAAAATCAAATCTAAGTTATTAAGGGCAAAAAAAAGAAAAAAAGCCTGTTGCGTTTTTCTTACTTAAGGCATTTCATGCTTAAAATTGTTGCCGATGTTTGACAGCTCTCATTTCTCCTCTGTGCCCAGGCATGCTGTAGGTCTCATGTTTCGCTTCAAGAGCCCCGTAGCTTGGCTGATTTTGCTTGTAAAGCTATTAAACTCTTGCACAGCAAATTTGCTCTCGGAGCCGCAAGACGCACTGCCAGGCACAAAGTGCTCGGCAGTGTGACTTGCCGGCTGCAGCCGACCCCCAAGCGCAGGCCGTCGTATGCCTCTGTAGGCTAAATTTATTTGTGAGAGCAACCTTGCTGCCGTGTGTGCTCGTGAGCCGCGCCGGTGTCAGTGTGTGCTGCACGGGCCGGGAGTGATGTGCTGGAGCCTGTGTCAGCCTGTGCAGGAGCCCTGCGTTGCCCTTCATTGCCAGAATGCAGGAGTCTTGTGCAACCGGAGGCAGCAACATTTGGTCCAGCAGCGTCTGCCAAGGTGAGGGTGCAATCTGCCAAGCCAAACAGGATTTTGTTGTTGATCGGTTTGTGAGAAGGGGAAGGGCATTTCTAAGGGAGGCGAGCAGCCGGTGTTATTTGAGGTGCTGCTTGGCTGGAACTGGTCAGGCTCTTGCGAAGAGGCTCCCGGGGTGATCTCAGGAGCTGGCTCCCCAGCGCGTTTGTGAGATCTCATGTAGCTGAGAAGAGCTGGCATTGACTGGGAGAGCAGCCAAGGGCTGTGCGAACAGGCTCGGTAGCTGTAGCAAAGATTTTTAGTGGCAACAGTTGATGTGTGGGAGAAGAAAATGTATGTGTGCTTAATAAATATTGGCACTCAGCAAGAGCTTATCAGCTAATTCAGTGCTGCAGCTTCTGGAGAGCTGGGTTGTCTCTGCCACGTTGAAAAGAATCCCTTCAGATCAGGGGATAAATAGTAAATTAATATGAAAAATACATTTTTTTGAATGATGCTACTTCAGTGCTGACTTAGCTGTAGGACAATTCCCGCCTGCCAACCCAAGCTCGTGCAAGAGGCAGCAGCAATACCTGCTTCTCCTCACGACCCAGGCCCCACGGACTGCGTGTGCAGACGTTGTCCCACACAGAAGAGGGCTCAGAATGGAGCAAACCCTGCGGATTTGCTCTTTTTGTTACCTGCTGGTTTGTGTTCTATGAAATCCTGTCTTCTGGGAAGGAGAGGCACGTTCACAAGCTGTGTTTCAGAGACTTTTAGGGTTGTACGAGTAGACTAGGTGACCTTCAGAGGTCCAGTCCGTCACCTGGCCCTCGCTGGGACCGACTGCCTGTCTGTTTCTGCAGCCTGTCTGAAACTCCCCAGCGATGGAGATGGCCTCTTCAGGTTGCCCTATTCTGGTACAACTGCTGTTAGAATGACTAAGCTAGATATTCCTTGCCACAGCTCAGCTGCCCTGCTACTTCTCCTGTCCTCCATAGACAGCTCTTCCTTTGTTTGGCAGTGACAATTCACGTGTATAAAGACTTCTAATACATTTCCCTTTCTTTAATCTTCCCTTGGCAATCTCTTTCCATGCCCCAGATGCTCTTGTCACACTCCCTGAAACTGTCCAGTGTTTTGCATTTGTTTTTCTTTAATGCTGCAACCAAAGCTACACAGAATTCCCTAGCCTGTGGCAACAGTGAATGGATTAATTTGAGTCTCACTGATTGTATTTATATATCCCAATATATTTGGCTGTTTGCAGCATTGTAGCGGTCTCCGATTTCTGATGCATAACTCTTCTGCAAGACAAATGCAACAGACTAATTTTCTATGCTGGCAGGACGTCATGTTCTTCACCTCCTGTCTTTTTTTTTTTTGTTTCCTCTTCCCAACCTGCGTATGCGTGTGTGTACCTGTGGCGCCGTCCACCTGCACATCAAGGCAGTGCTGAAGCAGCAGGTGTTCTGCAGGATCAAAGCGGTATTTCCCTTTAAATTCCTCCTGCTTTCCAGGGAGCAGCTTTTGATCTTTTACCTGTTGCTTTGTTCTTTCTCTGCTAGGTAAAAGCTAATTAAATGTTGCCTCTGTTGGCACAGAAGTCCTGCACCTCTGCCTGCATTCCTGAGAGCCCCTGGAGAGCTGCAGTAGGACATCGCACAAGCTCTTGTTTCATACATGCATCTCCATCTGCTGTCCTTAGGAGGAAAAGCTCACTTGCATTTTCTGAGGAAGCATTCCCTGGTCAACAGCCGCAGCCATCTGATACTACCTTCCTCTTTTGCGTACGCTGGTTTTGCGCTTTTAGAGTTCTGATGAAATAGCTGACGTAGCTAAAGGTCTGGATATCTCGGCTGGTTTCAGTCTTGACAGCAACGGGGCATAGCTGAGCAGACTGTGCGGCCTGCAAAACGTTGTGGTAACCGATGACCCTCTTCCGACATGCCGGAGGCTGAGGGCCTCCGATGCCGTACAGGTTGCTCCACATCACTGCTTTGGACTCCCTCGATGCTGCGTTGAAATGGTGTGTTGTAACTTGGTGATGGGAAGGAGGAATTGCAGCAGAGTTTACTGTCTGTATTCTTGCAGGGTGCAATGCGAGGAAAGGTGACTTGCTCTTTAAATATGGTTGAGGCAAATTACTTTCTCCAAGATATAACCCAGAGCCTTAAATCCTTACTGTGGTTTTTGGCAGTCTGGACAAGAACAAGCAGATGGCTCCATTGGTGTTTGTTTTTTTGGGCTGAGACGTGAAGATACCTGTTGTGTTTGCTGCTAGAAGGAGACGCGGGTGCAAAGGACTTGCAAAGTAATTCTCTTATCCTAAACACTTGCTGGGAGCAGTATGTAGCAGGGTTGAGGCTTCTTCATCAAGTTCCAGCAACGCCTGAAATGCAGAAACTGCTTATGCTGTGATTCAAGCTGACAAATCTCGCGATTGCCCGTTAAACCAATAGTTTGTCCTTTACTGAAGGCTCTGTCAACTACTTGGCGGTCTCATTTGCAACCTTCTGTGTGTACAAATCTGTCGGAATCAGGACAGCTATTTTCATTCCCTGCAGCTTTCACTCTGCTCTTTGGGAAGCGCTGGTTTCTGTTTGCCCCCTCTGCCTTCTCGCTTCCTCATTTGTCTGGAGATAGCGTTAAAACCGTGTTTAAAGAAATCAGAGCTATTCAGTGTTTGACGATGCTTGCTTTAGGCCTCTAAATGTTTCCTGCGTACAGTGCCCCTGATAGTACAAGTCAAGGCCTGTCTGCTTTTCTTTTTATTTCTGGCTACCCCTGTTGCATGCTCTGCAGAGCATGGTGTGGGGCTTGTCGCGAGGAACACGCTGAGCTGATCTCTCCCCGCGCTGGCCCTGGACCCGGCACCATGGCGATGCGTGGTGCGTGCTAGGTCGGACTGGCCTGTTCAGGAGCGAGTAAGGCCGTGTAAATACAAAGGAACAAAAGTAGATGTTTCCTCTCCTTGTGTACTTTTGGCAGAACAGAAACTGCCGTGCCTCTGATGGTCTGCTTCCCAGCTAGGCACGGCGGCAGCAGGTCGAGCCTGCTCTGCATTGAACTGTGTTGGGCTGCCTGTGGGATTGCTTCGCGCAAGACCCGCTTGCTGTTTCCACACATCAAGTCGTCTTCCCGATCTGTCTGCTAAATAGTTTATAGCTTGGGTGACCCCTCTGGATTCACGGTAGAGCTCCTCATCAACAGCCCCAATGAGGAGCGTGTCTCATTTGAGGACAAAGCTTACTTGGTGACTAGTTGGGGATCAGACTCCACAGTTAGCTAAAGTTGCCTATTGACAGATGAAATGTTTGCCTTGAGTTGGCGTGCCGTACGCTGCTGTTGGAGTCTGTCCGCTCTGTTGAGCACAGGTCTCTTGCCACTTATCTCTGAAAAAGCTCTATTTAACCAATCACTGTTCAAAAAACAAATCAAAACAAAACCCCAGCCCAAAAACCTCAGTTGCACAGCAGGATTATGCCAAAAATTGGTAAGCACAAGATGAACTTGTTTTGATTCATGTTTTTCTGGAGATGAGTGGTTACTGTGGATGAAGCAGCAGCTCCTTGTTTAATGTCATGGTCTCAGCAGTTTTTCTGTGCTGAAGGAATCCTCTGGGGTCTGCTCTGACTCCCGTTGACATCCCCCGGACAGTGACACATCAGGCCGCTCTGCATTGCTGAGCTATTCCCTTAATGGGCAATTTTCAGTGACAAGCATTACTTTTCTGCTTTCTCCCCACAGTAACTATTGAAATGTGGTTTTTTGCTGCCTTCGCATTTCTTCGTTGCAGAGAAAAACATCCCAGGGTTCTGTACTTCAGCGTCTTTAAAACATAGAGGTGATGTTACAGATCCAGAGCACTTGGAGGCTCTAGCTTGAGTTGTAGGATTGATGCAGCGGTTGATGGGAGACCTCTTCCTTCTCAGACAGCGGTAGGCACATGCTGTGCTGCTGGTATATTTATTCTAACACTAGGCTTTCCTCCTTCTTGGCAGATCTTCTGAATTTGGCTCCTGATTAAAGCTGACAGATAATGGAAACATTTCCTTGGCGATGTCTCTGGGGCGACTCCTCCGACGTGCCTCTTCAAAAGCTTCAGACCTCCTGACCTTGAATCCTGGTGGTGGCAGCAGTTCATCTTCCATACTTGATGGGGAGATTATCTACTCCAAGAACAATGTCTGTGTCCATCCGCCTGAGCTGCTACAAGGCATCGGGGAGCATCATCCAGGTGATAGGGCGTTGCAGACACTGCTCACTCACTCTTTTCCTCTGTCCTGGGGTGTGTGTTTGTATCAAATTCTACATCTTGGGCTCTAAAGAATGGAGAGGTGCCAGTGGGGGACAGGGCGAGGCAGTCTTATGGAAGACTAAGGAAAGCCATCCACAAGCTGATCCATCAGCTCTTCTTTTAGTAGGAAAATTGATGATATTTCTCCTTTCTCTTCTGGTCTAGCATGGGTCTACCTGTTTTAGTAAGTCCTTTTGTATTGCCAGAAGATGGATGGTTGTCATTTGAGGGCAGTAACTTCTGTTGCTCTTTCAAATTTGTGTATTGTTCAGGAAAGCCAAGTATCATCTTGTAACTCTCATTGCTAGAGTGGCCTCAGCAACCATTGGTAAAGGGAAAAGAAAGAAAACCTGATTGTGGCTGCATGCACTGGAGTAAATGAAGATAAATACTGCCCTGTGCCTTTATTCTCATCTGTTACTGTGCTCTTTCATGTTTTCATCAAAGAGAGCAGTGGCTACTGGCTTAGCTTCACAAAACTGATTATTCTGCGAACATTGACCCACGCTTCCCTTTTTGTGTGCATGACTTTTTTTTTTTTTCAATTGACTTTCCATGAAAATTGTAGCCTTTTAGCTACACTAAGGTAAATATTCTTGAGAAGGAAATGTTTAGCTGGCACTTGAAATTGTTTAGCTAACAAACAGTAGAAGTTTTTCATGTGGCAGCATATTCCAGCATTTACTCTTGATTAGTAATCCGTCCAGGAAGTTGAAGTAATTGCATATCATTTCTATGTCCACTGAGGCCAGAGGGAATTTAGACTATTCAAAAACCATATGCAGACTTGAAATTATTTGTAAATACTGGATAATGTTGAGCACTCTACAATTCATTTGGCAGAACTCTCTCCTGGTAAATAAAAGGGTTTGTTTTGCCCGTGTGTAATGGTGGTGAAGTGGGGGGAGATGGAGATGGGCAAATTTCAGGCTTACGCAGTTTCCTAAGCGTAAAGCTGTGTCATAACCGATTGCTCCTTTGCTCTCTCGAAGGCTATTTGTGCTTGTACATGGAGAAAGATGAGCTACTCGGAACCACGCTTATCCTTGCCTGGGTGCCAAACTCCCGCATTCAGAGGCAGGATGAAGAAGCCCTGCGCTACATCACTCCCGAGAGTTCCCCTGTCCGTAAAGCTCCCCGCAAGCGCGGCCGCCACACTCAGGGTTTCGGCATTGTCCGGCAGGCTTCCCCCACCGAGCAGAGAGGGGCATTGATCCTGAAAGGAGAAGACATCTTGACTGTCTCACAGCTTGTGAAAGATGTGGCTTACATCAGCTCCCCCTCTTCGGAAGGGGAGAAGCTCTCCCAGTGCTGCCCCGCGGCAGACGGCACCCGCCGGTCCCCCCAGCCTGCCCGCAGTGACTCAGGAATCCTATCGACAATCAGTTCTCAGGAGGAGCAGAACAGGTCGGAGCTGTCGGTGGAGGGGACGGAGGAAGGTCTGGACTGCAGACCAGAGCCAGGGGAGGACGAGGGCTCCTTGGAGCTGTCTGCTGACGACGTGAGCAGGGACAGTACTTTTGACTCTGATTCTGATGCCTTCTCTTCCCCCTTCTGCCTCTCTCCCATTAGTGAAGCCCTCGGGAAAAGCAGTAGTTCTGTGTTTCTGGATAATGAAAGCAGGTGAGTCCATCCTTTTCTCTAGTTTCTGGGCGAATAGCTGGGGTGCTGGTTGCTGAGCTTGGAGATGCTGAAGGAACTGAGAAGCATTGCAGTGGCATTGAGCTGAATATTCTGTCTTGCTTCAGACACCTGCGTGATTTACAGGAAATTGTTTGGCGGCCAGTTCTGCTTCTGCTCACTGAACCCTGGCCCCGACTGTCTATGTGTACAGTCTCTCAGGTGAACTATCTTGAGCCCTGGAAGCAGCGTTACTAAATTAAAAAGGCCCTTTGTTGGTCTAATTGGCTCTGCTGAGGAGATGTGCTAGTTACTCCTTGTGGAGAGCCACATCAAAGCGTCTGCTTGACTTCCTCTGAGCCATGGGTGCCTCTCTGCAAGGCACCGTGTTGACATGAAGTCTGCGTGTATGAGCTTGTTTTGCTGGTGTTCAGAACGCGGTGCCACTGAAGACATACACATTTTAATTCTTACATGGCTAACCTGGATGTTTTAGTCGACGCTGGTGTATCTAAATGTCAGCGCTTCTCAATGGCATCTGCAGTAAACTCTGCGTAGGGGAAAGAGGGCACCTTGGCAAAGGAATAGTGAACACTAGGATGCCTATATCATTCACTGTGTTGATACGCAGCGTTTCTGGCTTTCTGGCCTGTGTTCTGCGCGGTGTATCACTCATTTCCGTCTTGGGGAGCACGGGCGTGCTGCGTTCACAAGGCACTATAGCTCAACTTTGAAACTACGCCTGAAATTAGGAAAAACAAGTTCTCCTTTGTGCATATCGGCAATGTACAGGCTACATTTAAGACTTGACATTTAAAGAGATTTTGCCTCTTTATTTCACGGGCTAATCTCAAGCCCAGAGAATGCCAGTAAGGACAAGGTTTGTGAAGGAAGTATTCTAATTGATTCAACTCTCTCTGGATATTTTAAAACACTTCAGTGCGGTGATCTCAGACTTTGTATCAGCTTTGCATTTGATATGTGTCCTAGCAGTGTGCTTCTAATTAACTGCGAGCCCACAGGGTTTCCTGGGCTTGAGCTCTGCAGCAGTTGGGTGGGCAGGGGTTTGAGCAGCACCTCAGCACGGCCGGCACGGCTGTCCCATCCCGTTCCATCCCATCCCGTCCCGTCCCATCCCGTCCCGTTCCATTCCATCCCATCCCGTTCCATCCCGTCCCGTTCCATTCCGTCCCGTCCCGTCCCATCCCACCACCTCCCATCAATCCCATCCCATCCCATCCCATCCCACCGCAGCTCTCCCCTGGCTGCAGAGGGCTTTGCAAAGCAGCTGCAGGGTGCCCAGGATGGGCCTTTGGTTTCCAAATTGTGCTGAACGACGTCAGTTTGCCAGCATCCCTTTTAGCTCTCTAAACGTGATGTCTGACAGTCTTTTTTGACAACTGTTAGTAGGAATGTAGACGGCTTTGGAAACTGCATAAATGTAACGAAACACACTTTGAAAAAATTTTACAGGAGGCATTTGCATGATTAAATATCATTCCTAATAACTGACTTGTTTTTGTTGGTTCCTAAGCTTTTTGTCCCGTTCAGATTGCGTTCTAGCACTGGGCTACTGCTTGGGGGTTGAAACTTCAGTTGCATAGGCTTTCAGAGAATGTCAGGTTGGTTGATCTTGGTCTTGACTTAAAAACCAGAAAACCCCCAAATCCACTGCAACCAAAGCCTCTGTTTAAGGTGTGTAAGTTTTTTTTTCCTTGAAGCAGCACTGATAATCTGTGTGTTTGACCTATCTCTGTCACTCTGAAAAAAGTGAAGGTTGGGGGGTGGGGGGGGTTAAGCATTTTTTTTGGTAAATAAAGTGTAATTAAAATGCTTCTGTGAACACTTCTGAGTTGCAACAGTAAGACTCTTAAAGGAAGAACGTTCCTGTCTTGCAGCGTGTGTGTGGGGAAGCTGTGGCCCCAGCCGTGGCCCGGTTCATCCGCACACCCCGAGTAAGGGGTCATTAGCCCCGCATTAGTGGTTAGAAGCGGGAGTAGCGAGGGACGCGTTCAGAATAATATCCTAACTGCTGAAAACCAGGAGACTGAGCTCATCCTGGAGAAATCCCAGCCCTCGGCCTGGGACACAAGGCCATGTGCTGTCCAGGGCGTGCAGCAGTCTCGGAGAGCGTTCTGCACCCGATGGCGTGCGCCGGGAGAGGAGCTTGGGAGCACGGCACGCAGGCACGGAGCACTGCGGTTTAACTGTTTTGCAACGCGGACGCTCTGAGCTGCTAATAGTGTCAGGGAAGGAAGGAAATAGAGTTTATTGCGTCTTCGCTACCTGTGAATTCGTGCAGCCCTTCCCTGTTGTTTCGCAGCCTGGCTCGGGCGAGCCCTCTGCCGGCTTTCCTCTCGTGCTGCCGGAGTCCTGACAGCTCCAGCGACGCAGAGGCTGGCTTTGCAAACACACTGCTCGTGGTCCTGATGGTCTTTTCTTTTCTTTTCTTTTCTTTTCTTGGTCCTGATGGACTTTTCTTTTCTTTTCTTTTCTTTTCTTTTCTTTTCTTTTCTTTTCTTTTCTTTTCTTTTCTTTTCTTTTCTTTTCTTTTCTTTTCTTTTCTTTTCTTTTCTTTTCTTTTTTTTTTTTTTTTAACTCCTCTGGCACCAGTCTGGAAGCCTCGTACAGTGTCTGCGGCACTCATAATTTGCAGCAGATTAATAAAACAGACCTTTCATTGTTTGGGACTTCAGACTTGAAAGGCTTTTGTCCAGTGTGTCCATTTTTTATGCCAATTTATTCTTCCCCGTAGAGCCCCCTTGCATGATATCTGCAGGATCTTATAAACTGTTTTGAGTCGGAGATTTTGCATAGAATACTTTGCAAAAGTCTTGTCAAAAAGCATTCTCTTATTCCCTGCGTTCATCCCAGCGTTTTGGGGGGCGGGGGATGCTGTTTCAGAAGTCACTACAAGCATGAGAACAGCTTCCTTGCTTCTTAAGGGTTGGTTTTTGGTTTGTTTTTTTTTTTTTTTCCTGTTTGCTGTTTCCCATCTGAGCCAGAATTGGAGTGCGAACAAAGTTTGTGCTGCTGGCAGATTGTTTCAACTCTTTTCCCTCCCTACCCCCCGGTCACCACCTCCTCCCTGCAAAGACGAACGAATGTTTCTGGTTATTTCCCTCTGCATTGGGGAGCTGTTGTAAGGAGAACTCTGCATTTCCCCGTGATTGTTTCAGGAGCTGAAGCAATGCCTTGCATGGGTGTTTCAGTCCAGCCATCTTTCTTTCCGTGCAATTAGATATTGTCAGAAATGGAAAAATGTGACATTGTGGAAGAATTGGGCTGTACACGTGGACTTGGATCAGATAAGATCAGGGTGGGCAACTTCCACGGCTCAGCAAGCTGCTTGCCAAAATAACTGTATGACCAGGAGCCACAAGTCCTTGGAGCATCCTCTGAGAAGGTGGCCTGGCCTCCTGGGCAGAAGGGAGCCAGCAAACACGTACCGGTGCGTGCAGGACAGGGACAGGGAGAAAGAAGGGAGGTAGGCTTGGAAGCGTTTGAGTTGCACAACAAGTCAGTCACTTTAAGTCAACAACTCGCCTTGTAGAACATAAGGAAATAAAAACATATCCATTGTTTTTAGGGTTTTTTTTTTTCCTCTTTGCTTCTCAGTTTGACAGGCTGCCAGGGATCCCATGCAGCGATCGATGCTTTCCTCCCATTTACACAACTCCTCAGGCTAGGAGCTATGGGAGTGTCCCATCACCAGCGCACACATTCTTGCTTCTCTTTTTAGATGAGTCTGGCACTTCTGCGTAGCGCGCTCATCTCTCGTGGAAAGGTGGCTTTACTCTCTTGGGGTTTGTGTCCTTGTTAACTTTGGGGGCCCCTTTCTGCTCCTAGTACGTGGTTCCTGCAGGGAGGTAGCCAGTGTGGGAAGTGCCTGTGTTGATAGTGGCTTTGTCATTGACCGCAGTTCTGTAGGAAAGGAGGGGGATACTGGAAATAAAATCGTTCCGTTCTGTTCCTTTTCTCCCGTCATCGTTGTTTGCTGTCTGTAAGGAAACATTTGCCTTGTGGTCTGAAGGGCACTGATTCAGGACAACTGCACTCTGTACCTAGCTTTGGCTTGTCGCTGCCCTGCTAAATTACTCAGCTTCCATTTTCCCCATCAGTAAAGTGAAGCTAAAAGCCTTTTGTTACACCCTGGCGACCAAATAGCATCTGACACCTATATAATGTCTTTCAACCAACGCTTCTGAAGTTATTTGAACTGACCGTGACATCAGATCTATACCAACCGGTTGCAGAAGTACTTAGTGCTCTGTAAGTGGGGTTGTTGGGGTTTTTTTGTTACGTGCCGGAGTGATCCCTGGTTAACAGGAGCTTTCCCTAGCAATGGGTGGGAGGGCTGCCAAAGGCTTTTCGCTTTGGTAATAAACTGCAGTTGCTGTTACCTGACGAGCACCATATAAAAATGCTGAAGAGGACAAATAAGCGCTGGCGTTGGTTCCTTCACTGACTTCAGGTTGGGATGTTGGCCGATACAGTCAGAATTTGGACCGAGAAGCCTCAGTGGTGGAATTGTGTGAGTGGAGCTTGGGGCAACATCTGGCCAGAGGCTGGAGCTCTGCGAGCAGTCCCGCGGGCAATGGAATAGATGCCAGCTCGCGCTTCCACAGCACTTGCTTTGATGGACAAGCAGAAGCGATGTCGCCGATGTGGTCATGGATATCAATGCACGAAGGAAACGTCTTTCATAAGAAGGTGATAATTTTAGCAACCAGTAATAAAAATAATGAAACATTTTCGTAATGCAGCTAAACAACGGTACAGTTCTCATGTTCTTCAGCAGACACGAATTCACATAACAGAACGATTACAGATGGTCTAGGCAAAGCACACAACACAAGGAAAAACTCCTTTGGCGTCACAGTTGATGCAATTTTTACAGATGTGTTGCACATCCTGTTGTTAAGCCTCTTCCCAGGGAGCTAATCAGTAAATTACCTTCTCAGGAGGGAGCGGAGGCGCAGCGTTACGGAGGGTGGCAGCAG